AGACTTGAAGGAGCGGCAAGTCCTCAAATCGGACGGGCTAAGTCTTGCTCCCATAAAGTAGGACTGTCCTCCCTGTGGCCTGGTATATGCGGGTTTTTAGACGGAGGGAACCCCTTTCTGACGCCACGAATGTCGCAAATTCAAAAAGACAGTTCTAGCTTTTGCAATACGTGTACTGACTTCAGTTACTGGTACAGCTGCCAGGGTAGGTGAAGTGATCAACTACCTCGAGTTCCTCCTCATCAAGGGTCAATGGGTCATCGAGCGGCTAGTGTTATTTTAACAGTACTTTGCGCTTTAAAGGTGCAAAGCGCATAACAAATAATGGGATCACTCTAGTGTGACCATTCAAGGTTGATTGCGCCGTCCTAACATCGTTAAACAGCGAGATGATATCGTTCGCATAATCAAGATTAACTCGCTTTTCAGCAGGCAGGACAACGCCTACATCGCGAGGCTCTGCAGGGGAACACTCCATGATGGAGTCCACAACGACTGAACAAAGATGGGAAAAATGGACAACCCAGACGGAATGGCATTCGACATATCACCGTAGCTCCTGACCCGGCCTGTGGTGTTCGCGTACAATGCATGTAAAATGTTCACATATTTCATGGGAACGCCTTTCCGGGCAAGCATTTTGAACAGAATGCATCGAACGCACTCCTGAAGTCGTGGAACATAGCTATTGTCGGCCTGCGGTATGCGTGGCGCTGCTTTAGCACCTGCCGCAGAGTGAATATGTAGTCTGTACAGCCACCTTCATGGCGGAAGCCTGCCTACTCTTCCCTAATCCGAGATTCCCGCTCCACGGTGAGGCGACAAATGAGAATCAAGGTCAGTCATTTTGTCACAACTGGCGTTAGGCCAATACCCCCTGTGGTTAGCACTGTCGGTGCGACTGCCCTTATTGTATCTCGGCACTATGATTCAGTCCAGTTAGCTGGGATGGTTTCTGCCCTCCAGACGTGTTCGAACAGGGAGGTCATTGGTTTGAAGAAGACCTCACCATCATCCTAAAATAGTGTGAGTGCTAGGGAATCCGGGCCAGCAGCGCGAAAACGATTAACCGGTGCGATCACGTTTCGGCCCTCAGCCTCCGACGTAGTCTCAAAACTATCTGGTTATGGTTCAGCCTGCAACATCTGAGTAATAAGAGGCCCCGAAGCTGGGAGACAACTGTACTGCTCCCGAAAGTGCTTCACCCAACGAGCCATACAGCGCTCCTTATTGTGAATCATAGTACCCGTGCTCTCTATACCTGTCTCACTAACGCCTGGTTTCCTGGGACCAGTGGTGCGGATCAGCTGGAAGAGCTTGCGGTAATTGCCTACTGCTCCTGCCTCCTCTATTTCTTGAGCTCGACTGATTTATCAGGTTTCCTTGTTAGCACGTAGGCTCCGCTTTAGATCGCACCTAATAGGCCATCTGGTCACATTGTGCTCAAAGCCAGCCGGGAGATTTTTTATGGATTCCAACAGGTTCATCGACCTCTCGGATATCCAGTGACTGGTGCGGTGACGATTGATAGTACCACAAGCAGATGCTCCTGCGTCGTACACTGAAGCTCAGTGTCATTAGGACAAGCGAGCGAAAGTTCGCTACACAGTGCTTCTTGTTAGGCTTGCCTGACCGAGGGCTGAGACCATTTCTCAGTTGCCAATCGGAGGTGACGCTTGGTGTGTCTCCCGGTAAAGTTCATGGAAAAACGACCGCGTACTAAGGCATGATTAGAGTTGACACAGGTATTCCAGGACGAGCGGCAATCCAGGATGGAACTATACCACCTGCAACCTATAGCAATGTGGTCACTTTGGGTCCATGGCTGACCAGCTACAGGAGGACGCCAAGTACCGCTTCGACGCCCACTGTGTCTAGAAGCAGTGCTACTAAGAAACAACTGGTGCTCCGCACATGGTTGCAACAGACGCTTACCATTGTCAGCCCGTTTGGAGTTAAACCCATAATTACCACCCAGCTGAGCTTCTGAAGAGCTCATACGACCTACTTGTGCGTTCATATCCCTACAGGTACTATAATATTTGAACTAGTAGCACTGCGTAATAGCGCGTTCAGTTCGTGATAGAATGTGTCCTTGACAGCATTTGAACTGCAGTCGGTGGGAGCATAAGCAAAAATCACAAACCAACAGCGTTTTTTACTACTTCGTGAATAAGCCTTCATTGATGTCGTCAAACGGGCTGCACATAAACGGCTGTTCACCGGAATCCAATCAACCAACGATGGCTCAGCCTTGGAGCTTAGAATGAGACATATACCAGCTTAACCGGTGAGTACTGCATCGGTGTCTCCGGATGCGTGCAACCAATAACGAGAGGATAAGCCGGGTGCAGTTAATTCAATAACCCCATTAGGGTCATTGATCCTAGTTTCGGACACACAACACATATCAATACCCAGTGTGTCCAAGGTACGTGCGAGTGCAACCTGTTGACCTGTTTGTCTTAGAGGGCGAACGTTGTACGCCGCCAGGGGAACCGGACTACCTGGCCTTGTAAGGGTCTGTTGTCGATAGGCGTCCGATGGCTGTTGTGGGAAGGTGGTTTCAGATGGTTCTACTCCAGTGACTCTTCGGTTGCTGTCAGTTAAACTGGGAATTATAGTTGAAACCTTAGTAATCCGAGCCGGGATGGAAGTAAGAGAAACAGGTAGATAAGAAAGAAGGGGCGCCAGCAGTAGCCTGTTTTCGCGTATCTGCCCTGCTGCATGCAGCAGATAAGGTGACTTTTGATACTCTACGTGACGGCCAATGCTGGATGTAGTTAACGTTTGGGGAAATATTCATGGTTGTTCTTTGGCTGAGATACTACCAGGGCGCCCAGAGCTAGACAGGAGGACGATTAGGGTCCTCAATCAAAGCATTTGGCTCAAAAGCCTGTCCGCAGGGCAGCGGGGAGGTGGCAATGATTTAGTTTTACAGAAATGGACGCCATCCCATCTCTAATCCCGAGGTTGGAAGACCAGGAGACTGTGTTTGTCTGACCTCTCACCACTGACCAACCTGGTAGGAGTGGCTCTCAAGATGCCCGGAGGCATCGCCCAGTATAGCTCAATGGGTCAAGGAGCTAGGCAAACCGTCGCACCATGGTAAGGTCCAGTCTCGTTGCGATGGTCGTATTCGCACACGGGTGAAGTTTGTCTACTTTATCTTAGCCTCTCTTGTTTGGTGCATGAAAACCTCAAGTGATCAACTTATGTACTTACTTTTCTTGCCATAGCAACAATCTCCGATTTTGTAACTGCTCACAAATGTGTGGTTTACGATCTAAGCCTTATTTTACTGAATAGCAGTTACAACCGATCAGAGTATAGGCGACAGTCATAAACAAGTTACACTACTACGTCTGTTTGTACTGTCCTAACTCTGAAGCTGAACTGCGCATCATAGGCTGTTTGTCTGGAGCCTCGGTTTTGTTCCCTAATCTCACCGTTTTCCAAGTCAGCTAAAACCGTTTTTGTGCCGCTAAACAAACGCAAGAGATAATTTGTTTTATGGTTGATAAGAGAAGTCACTAGAGCAGGGTACTGGATGTTTGTAGTCTTCTTTCCGAAGATATATTACCGTCGATATCGAGGAACTCTTGGACACTCACTAGATCGGACTGTTTGGGTTTCAGCACATTTAAGATCGCCATTCGTCACGGAGATCCTGACTGAAAGACAATCACTGGCCCGACATATTCTGCATTTGCGAAGCCGTTATCAGTTTTATTGGCAAATGTACTGTTGTATGATGAAAGCACGTGAGTGTCGAATAATTCAGATATGATGAAGTCCGCCGTATTCATGACTAATCAAGTGTATGGATTTGACTTACAAAAGCACCTAGAGCCTCTGAATTAACCGCCATAGATCACGCCATTTAAGACTCTGATACTCAGTTTCTCTGTTTGCTGCACGTCCTTGGTTTAGAGTGGCCAAATAGTACCAACTCCTGTCTAGAAGTTAAACTTGGATCCACTAGAATGTAGCATTTCCCATGGGAGGAACAGAAAACGTATTTACTGACTTGTCACAACATCGTCGACATTCTGGGTTTTTTGCGGGGGACTTCATTATCCTCATTATACACGTTATCTAGAGATGGGAAACACCTCAGCTATTGTGCCGCAGTACATGAGAAAAGAAAAAAAACCTGCAACAGAGACATGCCAGTTGAGCCACCAGTAACGGATGGACATTGTTCCAGAGAACTAACAACCGGCTGTTGTGCCGCGAAAAAGTTATCGTATGCGTAGGAGATAAGATCGTGGCTGCAGGGGGAGGTTAAACTAGAGGAAAAGGAACAAAGGAACTCATAACACAAACGCTACTGTAGTCGGCTCCCAGCCAAGTCAGCAGATGCATCCAGCCAAACTTGTTCATCGTCTTTCGGACCCTATACAGTTAACCAAGAGACTCCAATCACTGCTAACTTCGAACAAAAGGTCTTCATTCCTCTTGACCAAGTTATCGCTTGGGCTCTATCTTTTTCCATCCACATCCCGGGCGCACAGACAACGCACTTCGCGGAAGTCCGTGTACTGGCATGCGGGTGACACGTTCGCCAAGGGGAAACCCATCATGTTGCAGAGTTATGGCACCGAACTATCCGTCGAGTCGCATTAATCATGAACGACGCGTCCTGTGCCACGAGTATCTGGTCCAGCCAGGTTGATTATGGGCACTTCTTATTTCAAAATACGGTTGTTAGTCCTCCATCGTCATGTACATACTAGGGTGAGCCAGTGGCCCACACGCGAAGGCAGTGAAACATATTCCTACCACTTTACTGAAATGCAATAATCGTCCCAGCTATGAAGTAGGAGGGCTCGGAGGAAACTTACTTTGTAAATGAATGTTAGAGAATAGAATCACGCTTATTTTTATAATGTGTAACCTGAATCCGCTTGACTAAAAACTCGACACGCCATAAACGCAACACCCACCTCAGCATCATGCACACCTCGTTTTACAACTGCCCCGTTCTTTTCTTGCAGACTCCCGTCGCTCCCATTCGTCCTCTTCACCGTCACCTCGTCGACACAATAGTCCGAAAAGGAGCGATAAATCGGTACACTTCTCCCCTTTGTAAATGTTCCTTTGATTTTCTACTTTCCATCTGACTTGTTCATTGTTTGCTTTTGGGATGATTGTAAGTTTCACAGCTATGAACTCGTCCTCCTTATTGCATAATCTTTCCCACTACTCTACTTTTGCTTGCCTTGAGGATTCACGGCGCAGCGTTGAGCACCTGTCATGAACACCTTTGACACAGTAGATCGTAATTTGACCCACGAGATGACGATGCCAAGTATGATTCCACCGCTTTGGCTTCAGTCAGAGTGGGGTAGGTGGTTCTTCCCGGTGTGTACTTTAAACCCACTGCAGTCTCCACTGGAGAGTGATGAACTCATCTGCTGCTGCTCAGTCATTTGCCCCGCCGAGCACATGAGATGTCGCATTATTCCCGGGAATGACACCTACCCATATATTTCGTCGTTTAAAATTATCTGTGCGTACTTGCACCATCTTTAGCCTTCGACATCCCACTTAGCTTTAACCTTACAGACAGGGAGGCTCGGTGTCATCTACGGTTATCGTCGATTAGTTTATTGGCGATGTTCCGATCGAAATGACGTTGCTAGCACATATATCTAAACCAATGGAACCGGTCTGACTGTCGCGGCTAACAGCAGTACATCCATCAGTGTCCTCTACTGTTGCTTCACTTCCATACAGTCGTAAGCAGACTGGGCTGCTTTTAAATCGCTCAAACCTGGGCGCAAAGATTGTAAGTCAAATGCCCGAGCCATTACCTCGATTGAACTTCAAGGTAACTTGTTGGTTAGTGGTTTATCCTAATGACTGCGAGATTCATAACATCAAATTTCCTCACCCGCTATTCTGAACGTGTGGTGGGTTTACTTGTACTACACCTTGACCTATACAGAACGGAAGGTGATCATCCACAATTTCTTCGATACCATTTTTCCTCAACACTCGAGCAAATCTGTTAAATCGCGAAGCTTCGTTCTGCCAGGACAGTGCGCCCACCTTACTAGCAATTCAGCGGGGACAATATGTGGGCTGGATAGCTGCGTAGATTATCCATCCTTCTTCTTTCTTAAATAATAAAAGCAGCTGGTGCTTAATTGCTGGGATTGTGCTCTCGACTGCGTCCATCATCTAACCGAGTATCAGCAGTGCAGCGGGGTCTCGTATCACATCACTACTGCGCAAATTTCAGCGGTAGCATGCAGATAGGGATACCACCACCTCGCTAGTACTTACTTAAGCGAACTGGTGGTCTATGGTCAACATGCCAAATGCCTGAGTCACTCGACCAACGGCGAACCAATTTTCAATCAGGACATTTAATTTTTCTCATCTGACACACATCTTAACCTCTCATCTACTGGTTGTGCCATGATTAGAGGTCATAACTGAGGGTTAGATGGACCTCTCTAAGCGATAGTTCACCTTACTGCCAGAGTTACCGTCAACTTTATGAAACAGCCAGTTACTCATCAGAAGTAACGAGCTGCTTTTTCGTCGGACTGAAATTTCTCAACGCTGGATTTGCCGTGCTTTCCGGATAGGGTACAGCAGTGACTCTTGTACTTGCAGTTTTTTAGGGTACTGAATCCGTACATTTAATTTCTGTTGATACCAGCCATTTGGAAAGCTGATAATGAGTCTGGTTTGCAAGCGCATTTAAATAGTTTACAGGTTCAAGCAAGCAGTTTATTGCACTGGTTTTGCTTCTAATTACTAGGACACAAATTGTTTTAGTGAACGGTTTCTCGGTTTTCGTATATAAGGGCTTACTTTCTGCCTCCGGCCATAGATTATCACTTTACGATCGCAACACCGCATATATTCTTACTCTCATGTTCTACTATGCACGTGCATATCTTCCACGCATTCGGACGTTCGTTTACCACAAACACTGTTTTTATCATTTGCATTTAGTATTATGGGGAACTACTATACTGCTCCAACACACGAATTTTACCTGGTTATACACCTACTGAACTATATCGCAGATAGCAGTTCCGTCGAATAACGCAAACTATGAAGCAACCTACTTTATTCACAGCTCATTCCGTGGTACTTTTTCAACTTAAACCTTCGCGCTTTAGATTCTCTCATTGTTACCATCCCTGCATACTGCGTTTATCCCGCCTCGTTTAATGCATTGCTCAGTATCACCCGTTTTCTCTTTTTAGCGGGACGTGGATCACGAGGTGCGTAATCATATTTCTTCTCGTCATCGCAGGAGGTCTTCCCGATCATCCTCGAGATCTTCCGGCGTCGATCATGGGCATACCAAGAGACCTTTGAGGGAACCTAGGCATCCACGTCGCTCGAGATCTCACGATAGTCCTGAACGTTTAATGAAGAAAAAGTGGGCTTTGCTTGCACCTGTCCTATATTGAGTTCTTCATCAGAAGTCCCTACTTTACGCATAATTCCCGGCAGCTTCTTAGCTTATCACTTTTATACAAGAGAATTGTTCGGAGTAGCTCTTGATCTCTACTGTTTCCATCTGTTTTCTATTTCTTGGCCCCTTTTCCGCATCAATCACTTCTCGCACTCAATCACCCGTATATTATTGCATTGGCAAATGAGTACAGTTAGTTGCAAAGGCTGCGCGCATGTGTACATAGGTTAAATAGCGATAGAGCTGCGCACGAGAATAGCAGAACACCAGCGGCACGTTTCCACTGAGAAACGAGTCTGAATACATGGCCCTACTAAGAGATTCAGCGGTGGCCGTACACGCATTAGACGCGGGATACGAAGTCGACTGTGACAATGGCGAGATAAGAGAGGACTAAGAGCAACAGGCCAAAGGCTGAGGTGGTTTATATATGTGGACGGAACAGACGACTGGGGGGTATCAAACGCAGGGCGGGCTGTTTTCACCCAACCAGTCGACGAAAGCGTCGGCAGGTGGACTCAGGTCGGAGCGTGAATCAGCAGCAGCAAGCACTAGAATGCCACACCTGTGACGCGGACCAATTGGGTACGCTCGATGTCTCTTGTTCCACTAGAATGTCTCCTTGACCTGTGACGTTATTATTCACTGACTTGTGTCATTTCTCACAACCCTCATCCTGCTTTGCCATAAAAAACCGAGCCACTTGTGTACCGATTCATCTGATGAATCTTTCGCGTTAAGAGCGAAACGTAGCCACAACAAAAACGTGCCAAAAGATTTTTCTTCAGAAGCTTCTGAATTCGTGTACTCCTATCCGGTTCCAAGCCTATCCTGAGCTATCAATTGAGCTGTTCGCTAGGACACTAGAATGCATTGAGCTTTACCGTAATTAGCAACCTTCCACTAATTGGCGCTTTAATCACCTGGTATATCCTCATTTGCCAATGGAATGTAATATGAGATCACAAACCACATAGCAAAGGTTCAAGGTGCTTTTGCCAATCTCCGCCACTTATGGCACCGGCGCGACATCTCGTCATGAAGGGCAGAGTTTACAATGCAGCCGTCCGTACAACTCTGCTGTATGGTTGCGAAACCTGGCCCGTCAAGCCGACAGACATAAAAAGGCTGGTCAGGTTCGATCATCGCTGTCTTCGTAGCTTAGCTGATGTCTGGTGGGAGCACCGCCTGAGCAGTGTGCGTGTTCGGCTTCATGTATTTAGTGCAAGGAGATTGAGTGATCCCTTCAGCACCATTATATCACGCCAGACCCCAATGGTTGGACCACATGTTGCGTATGCCAGCACACCGACTACTGCGACGTGCGTTGTTTACGCGCCGGGGGCGTGGATGGAAGAAAAGGAAGGGTGACCAAGCGACGACTTGGTCGAGAGAAATGAAATCTCTCACCACAAATTTGGCGTCGGTTGGTGCATCCTGACTACCGGGATGGGCTCCGAAAGGCGATGAACACGTCTGGTTGGATACACTAGTTGACATGACAAGGAGCCGGCCCCAATAGCGTTTGTGTTGCGAGTTTCTTTTCTCCTTCCTCATCCTGCTTATCTTCACCCTCCAATCACGGTCTCTTGATGCATAACATGTTACTAAGTATTGTTTCGCCCGTTTTTTGCATTCTATAATTCTCGGTATCTTGCTTTTCGGATGTCTTGCCTTTATTTATTGCGGCACAATAGTTGAAGCTTGTTTCTCACCTTTAGCTAAAGTGTAATGATGACTCTCATTTGCTCTGTTCTACATGATCCATACTTTTTACCCGTTTGCATTGTGGCTTTTTAGACCTGCTCCGGACTCGGATTGGCGGAAGGATCTTATGGCCGGCCGCCGTCGTAGCCCACCAGAAATGCCGGAGAATAGTTATTATGGCTATGAAAAGCGTCACAAAGATCGAAAACGCTCTAGAGAACGGCACCGAGATCATCGACGGCGTGATGATTCAGGATCCCGCCATACTTCTCCTGTAGTTGAGTATTCTGACGGTCGCGGACACCGAAAGCATCGTGAAACAAAGCATCATGAGGATTTCGAACCCGATAGTGATGATCGACGTCGTCGGAAGCATAGAGAAAGATTCCCTGAGTCACGTAGCCCTAGTCGGAGGAGAGCTGTGGATGAGCGAGTAGCTATCGACCGTGCTAACAAGTATCACAATCGTCGCGCGCAATGGGCGCAAGAGGAGGACGACCTCTCAGTGAAGCAGGAAGAACCACGCAGTGGTAAACGTATCGCTCGGACCACGCTTGAGGTTCCAGACAAACGTATACGCCGCAGTCCTGAAGGCCCTAGCCTACCTCCAAGTCGAGTTCCTAACCGCACAGTAGAAAAAGGTAATTCCTGAGCGATTTATTGCTAATCTTCATGCGATTTATCGGTGTTATGACACTGTATACGTTTGCTTTTCTCGTCTTGCTCCTAAAATTTGTCATTAAACCGTGTTTTAGTACAGCATGTACTAAGGCAACTGCCCAACGCAAAATAGTACTAACACTAATACTACTACTATCAATAATAATAATAATAATAATAATAATAATAATAATAGGTATGCTTCTCGAGCGTGCTGAAAATGCTGGTACCTGACATGAGTTATGGTGCACGGGTATGATCATACTCTTGCTTGGGTACAACATATGTCGGGTAAGTCCTCCTTCTCTCCCTCATTCTTTATTTCATGGGTCCTCATGGTTGTATGGCAGCGAAACATCAGTTCACATGGCTGATGTACTGCTGTTGATGATGATGCTTGTTGAAGATTCGAAGTTGAATGTGTGAACTCCCTTGCATGTCATGCATAAATAAGTGAACTTTTATTCTCGGCAGTGTGAGACACGTCTATCAAGGCATGATCAGAGAATCACTGTCTTGTACAAAACATTGAACATAGAGTGATTAGGAAAATGTACAGACAACAAACCAATTTTTGGCATAGAGATAGAAAGGAATGACACATCGAGTAAAGTCAAGAACTCGCTCTAAGGATTAAATCAATGGGTTATATCTGGAAAACAATATGAAAGTAGAAAAGATATAGCAGGGAACAAGAGGCATAGTAGATTTGAGGCAAATAGGGTAGAAAGAAAGATCAAGTGAAGTAATGCGATCATCCCTGGGACTATCTCCTTGGTAGTCCCTCGATCAGCTTAGCACACACTTCCACACCCAATGTGTGCTAGTGTGGCGTAAAGCACGTTATATATATATATATATATATATATATATATATATATATATATATATATATATATATATATATATACTCAACACGGCCAACAGTACAATTGGCATAGTGTCACAACGTATGGGTAATACAACAAACATACGAAGATAGTGGGCAAAAGGTCGGTGTTCATGGGAATAGTGGGTCACAACAAGTCCGCATTGTGCACTATTTCTTGCCTTATCCGAGTCTGTTTGCAGTCACATATGTTCCGGATCCTTTACATTCCAGCTAGGGAGCCGATAGCGCCCGACCACGGCTAACTTTGACTTTAGCTCCTTCATACTCCTGGCCCAAGTCATAAGTTGGCCATCTTGCTTTCGCTTTCAGCCGACTTTGCGTGCGCGAAGAGGGCAAGACGAGGTAAGCAATGTGTAGGCATGCGAAGTACATGCCCAAGACACTGAAGTCTGCGTAGAGAAATTATACTGCTCAATGGCCGGCAAAGTCTGTCTGATCTGCAAATCCTTTGTCGAATATCTTCATTCCTAGTGTGATGTTGCCATCGTACATCAGCAATGCTCCGAAGGCAGCGGTGATCAAAACCAGCCTCTCAACATCCTTTGCGCGAACAGGCTGTCTCGCAGCCATAGAAGAGAAGCGTTCTCATTGCGGCATTGTAAACCGCCCTTTAGAGCTAGACTCAGATCACCTCGAGGCCGGAGGTAGCGGAGATTGGCAAAAACAACCCGAGTCTTTTAGACGCGCAAGGAGACCTCATCCGTTAAACCACTAGCGCCAATGCATTTTCCGATTTAAACGAACTTGTCCACCACTTCCAATGAATGACCTAGGAGGGTAAGATTAGAAACAGTACGTAACCAGTCCTGCAGGAAAACCTTACATTTCAGTGGTGCGAAGGTCATTCCAAACTGGGAGACAGACATCTCCAACCTACATAGGACATTTTAGACGACCTTTGAGAAAGCGCAGATTATGGCGATGTCGTCTGCGTACTCTAAATCCCGAAGTCGGTCCCCTGGAAGCAGCTCGACTCCGCTGGGTTCGCAGTTCTCCAGAGTACTCCAAGATTTCGTCTATAGCAAAGTTGAACAAGCGGGATGCTGAGCAACCCTGTCTCACGCCACTTATAATACCAAAGGGGGGCGTAAGTCCGCTGTATACTCGCACTCAGCCCGAAGTTTGAGAGTAGATGGCTTGAAGTAAAGTGACATACTTCTCGAGCACTCCCCTTCTCAGTAGACAACTCCAGAGAGCAGCTCTGTCGATTGAGTCAAACGCGACTCGTATGTCTAAGAAGACAACGATCCTTGGCTGGCCAACTGTTTGACGACGCTCGAGTATTTGGCGGAATGTAAAGATGTGATCTATGTATCTCCGACCTGTGCGGAACTTAGCTTGCTCTTCATGTGTGCTCTGTTCGTATACCAGACTGAGCCTCCTTAGAAGCAGAGCTGCGAGCATCTTGGAAGCCATACAGATGAGACTAATCACTCTGCGGTTGGCGCAGTCAGTTTGGGTAACCTTTTTGAAGACTGGCACGATAACCGTTAGGCTCCAATCAGATTGCATAACTTCAGTGACCCCGATTTCTTGGAGGAGAGAAGTTCACTCCTGAACAACTGATGGGCCGCCATCTTTGGAAAGAGCCGGAGGGAGTTCATCTGGACCAGGCGTTTTGTAGCGCTTTAAGATGCGAAGATCGTGGGCAACATCAGCCTCGGAAGTGTCTACACACCAGGGAGCGCTCTGGACTCCAGAATGGGAACTCATTGGTGCTACTTACCAATTGAACTGCTGCTCTAAATGCTCGGCCCAACGCTCGAGTCGGCGTTTTTTGACAGTGAATTGGCTCGCCATTGAGTTCGCATGCAACTGCGCTTACAGTCGGCGTTTTGCTGCCAACAGATCGGTTCAGGAGGAAAAGCTTACGGGAATTCCTCGGGGTTGCCGCTTGCTCCATCTCAATGACCCGTTTCGTCCACCAGGCCTCGCGATCTTCCCGGAGAAGCTGTTTGTGCTCAGCGTTAGTAGTCTTGCGTAGTGAATGTTATTTAACGTTAGCGGGAACTGCTCGACGAGCTTCGAGAAGTTGGAGGGATCGAGCAGAGATCCAGTGGTTTCAGGACTACTGGTGAAGCCACAGGTCAGGGTTGCAGAGTTGTACATGGCGCCGCGGATGTGTGTCCAGTGTGTTTCAATGTCTGTGCATGAGGCAGTCTTTAGCCGCGAGGCCAAGGCATCCTGAAATGCGCGGAAAACCTTCAGGGCAGAAAGCTTAGTTACGTCAAGCCGTTTCTGGCGACGCTGTTGGAAGCCACCAAAACGTAGCGGAACCTTGGCACACACCAGCGCGTGATCCGGATTGTGTTAGGTACTCCAGATTGATTTGCAATCCTGTATACTACCCCGCCAGCGGTAGCTAATGGCGAGGTGGTTAATTCGTGCCCACGACTGGCCAGGTGATGAAGGTCTCCAGGGCCCCCTGGCGCCCGGGTCCCGAAAGCTAGTGCTCGACAGAAAGAGGCCGTGATCGGCGCAAATCTGAAGTGGTCGATCACCGTTGTCAGTTCTACGAGTGCCATGGCCGTCTTGACCACCGAGTTCACGTTCATCAACTTCAAGTCTACCGACCGTGTCCAAGTCACCGAGGAGCACCACGGTACTTTTTACGGAGGTCGGCCAGTTGGCCATAGAACTCATCCTTAACTAACTCCGAGCTGCAATCTGTAGGAGCGCACGCTGCGACAATGAATAGACAACGTCTATTGACTTCGCACCTGGACAGTCGCACTGAGGTTTCAGTTCGGATCGCGCATAGTCGACTGTTAACTGGGATCCAGTCTAGTAGCGCGGCCTCAGCACGTGTAAATGAAATCCCCACGTCACCATATCCAGCGGCCTCGGCGGTTGAGTCTCCTGATAGGCGCAGTGAAAAGGCCAGTGGAATTCGCAGACGGTGAAACTAGTCGCAGCGTCGTGCTAGTCCTGTAAACGGGTCTCGCTGAGACAGCAGACATCAATGGCCGTAGTTTCTAGTGTGCGAGCAAGGGCTGCCTGTGATCCAATCTGCATCAGCGTCTGATCATTGAAGGTAGCCAGCTTGAGTTGGGAGCGAGGCGCTAGAAGTGGGTTGTCAACACGACTTGGCATATCCTCCGACTTAGGCTCCTGGTCCGTATAGCGAGAACGTACGTCCAAGGCGGCGCGGTGTTGTGAACTCAAAAACGGAGGGGAAAGACCAAGAATTGGGGGTTGAGCAAAAGTGGAATAAAGTGTCTAAACGGTGGTACGGTAAAACCTGATTTGGTAGGTTCAGCCGCCAGCACCTCGGCCGATGAGAGCAGTTCGAGAGAATGAGAGCAGATAGAGCGAGCGAAGAATTGTTGAGACGTGGATCCATAGCACGTTAGGCCTCATCGATTCTACTATATATTCGGGTTTTTTCCCATAAGCTAGCCACTTAAGCCAGTCATTCAGTTCGTCAATCATTGTTTTCTTTGTGAACATGATAACCAAATCCATCTGATTTAGCGATGTGTGCCACAGAGTTAGTAATCAATAGTTCAGAGTACACTGTTGTCATTGCACTTTGATGGTACTTGCACACTTTTCAAATATTCATCGGTGAGTGCTTGGTTCTCTGCCTTGCATGGAAAAACATTCTGCTTGGAAGCTTAAAACCATCACCTCAGGACAAAGGCATAGCATAGGGGGGGACAGGGGGCGGCATTTCTAGTACCGTGGATTCTTCAATGCCATATATGAAGAGCAAAATATCCAGATAAGCTGAGGGCTGAGGGGTTAATGTTACTCTGTATGACCAATAACATATTTCCACTGTGTCACACATGTGCGTACCTTCTTCCCAGCGATCCCCTTACCCCATTTTGTGGTCACTTTCACCACATTTATCTCATTGTCCCAAACGACCGCCAATTTCATAGAAAACTAATGTGCACTTTACCCCGAGCCAGTTGTGTGATCTTCACGCGCCTATTCTGCCCTCAGTCGTGCCGAAAATTTTACCACCGTCCCGGGCGACAAAGGTAGTTGCTACACCACTGCCTCAGGAGAACAGCTAGTCGTGCCCGGCAATTGACAACTAGAACAAAATGAAAGCGAAGAATTGCAATACCGATTAATTAA